GTGCCAATATTTCGAAGAAGAAATTTCCAGGAAAAAATCTTGATAGGTACAAGGTTTCAGATAAATGGACAAGCCATATAATTGTGTTTATCTTCCAAATAAAGCCAAAAATATTTAGCAAAAAAACTTAATTTACTTTGAATCTAGAAAGGAAAGTTTTTATGAAACAATTTTTGCAGAATGCAATGATAAATTAAGTTACTTCCTTTTTCGGTGCAAAATTGGGTTTTCAGATAAATACACGAAGGTATTGATAAGATTGAAAAAAAAAATCAATAGATCCATGATTTTACCATAAAATTCTGGTGAGAAAACGAAACTTTCCACGTTTAGTTCTGAACAGTGCCAATATTTCGAAGAAGAAATTTCCAGGAAAAAATCTTGATAGGTACAAGGTACCGAAAGGTGTGGGCGTTAAGATAGATGAGTTTATCTATGGCACGTTGCCATATCCAGACAATTAATTGGAGGCTCGACCGGTCGCTTAGTCACCCTCGACCTTCTCCTCCTTCAGTCTGCGATTCCGTTCATTTTATCCACGTGATTGTAAAGAGTGGGGCTACCATGTGGTAGAATCAACCGGTTTTCAACCAAGTGGGGGGTTTTCTGCCGGTCTGAAGAAATCCCGGTCTGCCAGTTTGTGTGAGACGTCGGGCCTGGTTTAACCGATTCTTCCCACGACTCAGCACACGTCTGTCACCATGCTATACGAATCGAAACAATTGGTACTCATCTACCCTCCGCCATGCGAGCTATGCCAGGATGTCGTTCAGAAGCTTCAGCTTTTATACGACGTGAGTAGATCTGGGGGATTTTTTTTTTTTTTACTTTTTTCCGAAGTTCGAGGATCAAGTGGAAAACGAGTGTGGATATTACTCATCCGAGCTGCGTTAATCATCGACAGATTTCAATTCATACCATCCTCAAAGTGGTGATAGAAGAACATCTTTCAACCACCAGTTTTACAATATTCTCATTGCAGATATGAAAAAAAGTGCTTCAGTTTTCATTTAAATTAAATTAATTTTAATGGTTTATTGCTATATATGCAATAGTGCGACCACATTGGTTGTGCATATTCCATTGCAATCCACGACTGTCTTTTCACTTTTACCTGCTAGAAATGTTAACATTCGCCTATAATTTTGAACATAAATATATTTCTACCAAAATCTAATTTGTCCACAATTTTGGAACATTTGTCAAAAAATGATGTATAAGACTTCAGAAACAGCAAATTTTGTAAGTATTGGTGCCTCGAAGAAATTGAATCGGCTTGGATATAAGTGAAAGCCACATTGCAAATCCTATTTACCAGATAGTAAATTGACAAAAGCTCTCTTTTGACACGAATTCTTCGTTTTTTAAACAGGATTTTTGAAAATTACATTTTAACAGTAAATTATAAAATTTTGGCTAGTAGCAAAAAAATTAATAAAATAACAGACAGTAAATATTTCAATATGGCCTTAACTGAGCCAGGAATGTGAACTTGTGCCAGTAAAGGAAATGAAAGACATACTGAAACCGATAGCGGTTTGATAAAAGTGTCAAGTCAGAATTTAACTAGACTCTAAAACATAAAACGTGTCATAAAACGATAGCGGGTTTTTTTTACAGAAATATTATACATGGCCCTGGATTTAACAACGTTGCAGTTTTCTTCTCTCTTATAAATTAAATTAGGCACTTTCTCCGTGGCCTTTTAAATAACTGTATTCACCCCGAGAATGGCAAAGCATTCAGTTTAATTACTTGACTTATTTTTATTAATTTATCGTCATACAGTACTTCCTATGGCCAATTACTGAAGAAAAATTCCCAGTCTTACAACTTTCACTTTACCGATTCCTTTACGCTTTCACGTCACGATGAGAATGGAGTTATTTTTAAGTCCCTAGAGAAATGGAGAAGCTTTGGTAACTGTATATACTATAAAGTGCGTATTCGAGAAAAAACTGCTTTTTCACTGAAGATGGCGTAAATCCGAGAGGATAAACGGACAGCAAACAGTTAAATTAAAAAGTAAAAGTAGTTTTCTGCCAGTGAATGAATTTTAGTGGATAATTTTTTACTTTTCTTATTTAGGAAAAAAAAAGACTGTTCCTCACTGAAGATGACAAACAAATGGACACTAACACGATCATTGTCGATCAGTTAAAAAATTAACAGTTGGTGGTCTTGGTTGATATGCTACTTGGTGAATTTTAGTGTGCAATTCTGGAATTTTTTTATTCAAGCAGAAATGAACTGTTTTTAATCCTCACTGAAGATTGCGTAATGCACCGAGGACAGACGGACAGTAAAGTGATAATTGTCGATCAAGTGAAGAAAACTGAAGTTAATGATGATGGTTTTCCGCCAGTGGATGAATTTTAGCGGGTAATTAATTATCTTATTTATAAAAAAAAGAATTAAAAAAAAAAAAAAAAAAAACGGATTGTTCCTCACTGAAGATGTAAATTAGCGGGTAGAAAAGTGATCATTGTCGATCGGTTAGAATACGTAAAAGGTGGCGATCTTGTTTAGTCTGTTAATTGATGGATTTTAGTAGGTAATTCTCTAATTTTCTTATTCACGAAAAAAAGGAACTTTCTCACTGAAGATGACGTGAACTTGCGAATTAAAATTTGTTGTTTTGATCGATCTGCTAGTTAATGAATTTTAGCGGGGAATTCTCCAATGACCTCACGAAAAAAAACAGGTTCCTCACTGAAGATGGCGTAATTGTCGATCGGTTAAATAAAGTACAAGTTAGCGGCCTTGGTTTTGCAATTGTTGAATTTTAGTGGGTATTCTGTAATTTTCTCATTTACGCAAAAAAGGAACTTTCTCACTGAAGATGACGTGAACCTGCGAATTAAAATCTGTTGTTTTGATCGATCTGCTAGTTAATGAATTTTAGCGGGGAATTCTCCAATGACCTCACGAAAAAAAACAGGTTCCTCACTGAATATGGCGTAAATAGCTAGGTCGGATGGACAGTAAAATAATCATGTTACAAAAAGTAAAAGCGATTGGTCAGCGAATGGTTAAATTTTAGTGGGTAATTTTCTAGTCCTCTTACTCGCGAACAGAGAACCGTTTCTCACTGAGGATGGCGTAAAGTTCGTAGATACAGTTATAGCTTAGTCGTTTTCGATCTTTTCGTCTGTCAAACGCGTTCGGCGTTTCACCATTGAAAAAGTCAGATATATGCAGGCCGAGGCGAGACGTCAAAGACGCTGAAGATGGCGAGAAGTTCGTTCGCTCGTTTGACGGACCAAAGCAGCGAGAATAGGCAAACCAAAATGTTCGTGGTTGGTTCATTACCTCGCAGACCTGAAAAAAAATCTTTAAAGTTTATATCAGTTTAAATAATCTTGATTGTTTGTATCCGATATAAGATCGAAAGTATGCCTTGTCTTTCTCCAAATTTCAATACTATCGAAAATAACCATAGATATCCCAAAGAATTTGAGATAGCCAATTTTTGATCAATTTTGTTTAAACTTTGCTTTTTGACTCGCGCCATCTATTCTTCACTGCCTTGAAGTAATTACGTTATCTTTTTTTGGCTGTGTCTCAAGTTAACAGGAAAAATGAGAAGTTTTTAAAGCGCGTTTTGGATTTATTTACTATACTATTCTCATAAAATGTTAGTAGAAAAATATTTTTCTATCCTTTGGAGTATAATTGGGTCAATCTAATCTATAATAGGCAGTCAACATATTTATTTCTATTGTGATCAAAATAAATCCGTTCGTCGTTATTTGTTTTAACGGTTAATGTATTATAATTATTATATATCATATTAATCGTATCACTTTGTCTAGTTGATAAAGTACACTGTCTTATCTCAAGAAATATTTTTCAAAAATATATTAAAATCGCAGATTACTTATATAGGAAATGTTTTATAAATTTGCAAGTGCCTACTATTTAAAATTAACTTAGCAAGCTTACAACAGAAAATTTTCGTGTAATAGAAACAAATCGTTAATGCCCGACATTGAGTTGATAACCCACCTTCATAAAACATTCGTTGATACAGTTTGAAAAAATATTTACATCCACACGTCCATAGTTAAACAACGAGATATCGCTTTTCGAGATTATACCTTTTATATCTTCTTTATGTACTTGTCCTTAATTGTATCGGAATGCGGAAAGTACAGGACATGATGAAAGCTCAATCATGCTGGATAACTGGCCTTATTTTAGACTGATCGCAGCAGGATCCTTGGCTCCGTAATAATAGGTTTTTTGGCACACACCTACCCGGAAGGTCGCCAATTTTTTTTGTAAATAACGTTAATGAATCTTAAGATTTTGGATGTTATACAGAAAATTTGGCAAATGTGAAGAACTACCATTTAAGTTTTAATCACTTAGAACTACTACGATACATTTTTTTTTTAAGTATACTTTATTCTTTTTTTTCTTTTAATGAGATTTCTCAAAACTATTTTCGCCGCTTTTAATTAATTGTGTGCTTGCATTAGCTTTTTAGAAATCTTCTGTCTCGACGCTGGTCTAAATGACAACGCTAAGGACGTTGAGCAGCTTACGATTTCATTTTCTCTTTGAATTTTTCATCAAAAATTCAGAGATCATGATCAATGTAAAAATATATTAAAATTTGATCGATTTTGTACAAATACACGATATGTTTGTACTTTTACACCTAAACGATCATTGACGCCATTGATGTTACGAATAAAATTTGATATCCTGTTTGTTTTAAGGATCAGGATGGAATTGCATGGTATTTTGGTTTCTGTGTTTTTTCCATTGCATTACCGTTAAAAACTTTTGTCAATCAAGGCCCGAGATTCATAGCCGATTATCGTCACCCTCAGATGTTAAAAACGAGCTTTTTTTTGTTTGATTTGCATCCATGTTGCACCACTACAGAACTAAAAGAACACCAGCATGATGTAGAACCGTCAGTTAATTTACGATTCATCAGTAAAAACTGAGAATGAACAGAAGACAATGATTTTCCCCTCTTTGTTTAGAGGCAGCCTCGGATTCCGATATGTGACGCTTCAGCAAAGACGACAGACGATTTTGTCAAGGAGCTACTAGTTCTGGTAGTAAGATGTTCGTAGTTTAGAGTTACCCTAGTTGAATAGTATCAATTATAATAAATCATTCATGCTTCACTAACGCGCCATCAACCACAAGCTCTTTTTTTTAGATGGCCAACTTGGATAGTTATCATTTATCCGATGCCTTTTCATCCCCGATAAGTTAATTGTGAGTAAGTGTTGTACATATTTTTGAATAATTTATTTGTTTTATCCCGTGGTGATATGAACCCCATGAAGATGAATTTTTATCGAACCGTAATTTGTACTTACAAATGTCTATTTTGGACCGGGTAATTTTAACTTTTGACGATAAGTGTTACCACTTTTGACCATTTTTGGAACTTGATTGATTATTCCAAATTTAAATTTTGTACAACTTTTCCATATCGTTCATTCCTTCCGGCGAATGAGTGCAGTAAAAATTACACCATTCTGTGAAATTTAAGGTTTTTTTCGTTTAGGAATCTAAACGGTTTCAAGAAAGATACTTTTTACAATAGCTCCTCGAATTTATTCAGCAAATCAAATTCTTGTGCATGTATAGACGGTTCAAAAAAATGCCGTACTTCTAGGAATGAAAGCCAAAATTATTTAGGAAAACTGCCAAAGACATTCATTCCTCGGTCTTCTCTGCCAGCTTCATCCCTAGGCAATTTTTTTGCATGCAAAAATCATTCACTATAATGCAGGCTATTTTGATAACTTTAACCTCGAATGTGGTAAAACAGCCTTTAAAGGCAGTATATTATGCGCATAGATTACATGAAATTAAAGATAATATTAGCATAAAAATGTCAAGTATGGTGTAAACAGATTGTGTTTTAGTTCCTGCTGCAACCAGGATGTCCTAACATTGCACTTTCCATCGTGCAACCGTTCTTACGACGCATTCAGAATGTTCTGATCTCCTGTTTAATTGGACAATTGACTGAGTTCAATAGGGACTTCCTAGATCACATTATCTAATACAAGCTCGATGCAAATTGCCTTGCGCCATGTGATGAAGCGACATTCTGCGAGATGTTTTCCGTCAACGGTCGTGGATGTGATTAACACGTGTAGGGTACAATATTACTCGATGCCAACGGTCAAAACGGGAAAAACAGACCTCTTGTAATGATGTTTTCCTGTGTCAGAATTCAAAGTCTTATCTCTTAAACAAACAGTCTCGTCATTAGTACTTTGTGCTAAAAATAAGGGAAAAACATTATCCCCCTTTCCTCATTGACTAGGAAGGAAAACTCTCATAGGGAGATTGACTTTATACTTTGAACTGGTTTAAGAACATGATGTTAAATGACATAAATGATCGAGGTTGTGGTCATTTTTGGGTTTTGTTAATCCAAAGGCAGTTCTGCCAAGCCTTGGACTTTGTTTGAAGCTATCCTCAGGGTTTTTTGCCTGGGTCCGTATTGTCGTTCACTGTTGTTGAAAAAGGTCATGTTGAGTATGTTGGAACCTCAGTTGAGTTATAGATTATTGATAGTATCAACCAGCAGTTGTAATCATACTAATATAATCATCCAGGTTGTGGACATGGTTGGGGTGTATTTGTTAATCTAAAGACAGTTCTGCCAACCTTCCGACTTTATTTGAAATCATCCTCAGGATTTTTTGCTTCTGGTCCATGTAATGGTTGAGGTTGTGGTCATGGTTGGGGTGTGTTTGTTAAGGTAAAGACAGTTCTGCCCAGCTTTTGACTTTGTTTGAAATCATCCTCAGGGCTTTTTGCTTCTGGTCCGTATCGTCGTTCAATGTTATTAAAAATGATTCTGTTGGAATATCAGTTCAGTTGTAGATTATTGATAGTGTGTGTTTCTTAGTGACCAGTTGTTTCATAATTGGTTGAATTCGTGGGTAGCGCTCAAAAATTAGATTTTGTTCATTTTGTTGACACGTTTCGACCTTTATTCGGGTCATCTTCAGGGCATAAAGTGTGGTGTTATATTTGTGCCATTTTGGTTTTGTGTGAAAGTGTTGTGTTCATACACTTTGACAACACTTTCACACAAAACCAATATGACACAAGTATAGCACCACACTTTATGCCCTGAAGATGACCCGAATAAAGGTCGAAACGTCGGGAAAAAAATGAAAAAGGTTTTTTTCTAAACTATCACATTCATAACCTCACGATTTCAACAAATCATTGAGAGTATCGACCAGTAGTTGTTATTACTTTATTTGAAGTCATCCTCAGGGCTTTTTCCTTCTGGTATTGGTTTTAAAAAAGGCCATGATCAGTACGTTTGAACCTCAGTTGAATTGTAGATTATTGATAAAATCCACCAATAGTTGTAATTATTATGTGATGATGTTGTGGCAAGGTTGAGATCCAAAGACGAATCTATAACGTCAAAAAAGTCGAAAGCTTGGCAAAACCTTTAGAGTAGCAAACGATCCTTGACCACAACCTCAATTATACATGAGTATAATTATAACTGTTGGTCGATACTATCGATAATCAATAATGTATGATATTAAATGTCCATTAATTAGGAATTTTAATTTTTGTGTGAAAAAATCGAGTTTCGTTTCGCCATTGGAAGAGGAAAAAGTCAATTTGATGGTTTATTCCATTGTCTTTTATTTATCTTCAAATCTTAGGACATTTGTGGTCGACGCAAGACTTGCTCAGTCATCATTATTAAAAAATGTTCTTTCAACGTTTGTTCATATTCTCTGAATGTGGCTTTTCCTTCGCATTTTGAGTTTGGTCGTAATATATTCATTGACGTAAAGGATTTTGTTAAATTACGTATTTGCGACATTAGCGGTCCGGGGTTCGAATCGCGTAGCCCATGGTCCGCCATACCCATTGGGTAGTTGGTCGTTAAGCCCTTCAGTAAGGCTTACTAAAATATTACTTAAATTTGTTCGTTAGATTCTTTCCAGAAACATTGCCGTATTTAGTTTTCAAACGATGTACGGAAAGAATGCAATTTTTCTCTGAGTAATCGAGGCGCCTGGATGGACAGAAATAGACTCTTCGCGAGGAATGGTCTGGGATCTAGGGCCACGGGCGACCGAAGGGAGTCGACCCCGCGTTGACTCTAAAATAAGAAAACGATACGCTCTCGCCCTCATATCACTGTCAATATAGTAAAAAAAAATCAGGTCAAATCGTAAAGATTTTTGCAAAATGTTTCACCTCGGTGATGCCTTTCAAGGGCTCACGACAAGCCTGATCCGATTGAAGCAACGGATATAGACAATTTCATAATCGGATTCCAGGTGTCCTTGGCAGTAACGGATCCTTTCTGTGTGATATTTGTCACCGATAATCCTGTCGACAGTTTCTCCTCGGTCTTTTTATCTCAAAGTCACACTTTCTAAGGGTTATCGGACGACGTTCTCAACGGCCCTGCGATGACCCGGGCCGATCACACCATTCTCAGGAACCCTTATCATTTTCACTAATCCAAAATTAATTTCAAAACAGGTTTCGTTATGTAATCCCACGACGTTTAAATAACACAAAATTGCATCTAGATTTAAAAAACATTGAGGTGGCTGGCTTAATTTTCAACTTCTTCATATTAGTTTAAAAAAATTATATTTTATGTGAAACATCATTCATTATTCAGGCTTAATTAATAATTAATACTGGAATTCGAGTGTGAACGCTAATGGGTTTAGTTCGATCCTTTTCATTTGTTACATGTTCAGGAAATTGCCCTGTGTTAAAATTTCAGAGGACTTAATCAAGCTCAATAAGACAAAAAGTTTAAAAAAGTTCAATCAAAAGGTGACAGTCCAGGACCATTTTACACAGTACACAAAAAGAAAAAGCTCACATGAATTGAACGGTTTCATTTCTTTTTCTTTGTTTTTGTTTAGTTTTGCATGTTCATGTAATATAATTTGTGTAATTTTTTCTAGGCTTACCGAGAGGTCTTGGAAGCCAAGGCGGAATTTTGTACGTATCAATTTACTCAGTACGTTCTAGAGAAAGATTATTTGTTATTTTCTCTCTTGTTAGATTTCCCCCCGACATTTAAAGACACAGAGAATAGTTAATTTCCATGCTGTGCCGTATCATTTTCTTTTACTTTTTCATTTACTTTTCTCTCTTTTTGGAGTGATATCAAGTAGTCCATTTTGGTGATATTACAAGAGTTGCCAAGGTATTAACGTCTTCAGTCAATTTTTTTAAGGTCTATGCTCTGATATATGTCAACGCCCACATGAAATCAATTTTATGTTGAAATTTCGCTCGACCTCGCATGTTGCGAATGTAAAAAAGGCACACTTCTCTTGTATTTTAAAAATTTATAACTTACTTTTGTAAGATATACATAATTTTACTATACAGGTTTTGCCAGTGTATCTAAAGTACTAAATAACATTTCCAGAAATACAGTTTAAGTTTATTGAATACAAACAAAGTAATATATTCAAATATATTTCTCGAATCGTCTAAGAAAAAGGAATAACATGCGATTTTCAAATTTTTCTTGGCACAATTATGATGTATATTTTGGTTGTAAAACCGTCATTTTTTAATCGATAAGGAGGTTGATTAAAATTAAAATCAATAAATGTTAAGTGTACTTTAATTTGTAATCTATTGTAACATCAATTATTTTTCAAAATATTCGACAGACAATTAAAACAACAAGATTTTGCGATTTGCTTTCTCGTTAAAAAAATAATATTTTAAAGCTTAAGTTTTACAATATATTGATACTATCAAATATCGTACGTATCAAACTAAAAAGTTTTAGGTGGCTTTGGCCGTAAATTTAAATTTCTTTAGGTGCAGTGTGTTGAGTTTATATAAGCGCAACTCCGCACACATAGGCACATAGATACACATATGCACAGAATTGAGCTTATGACTTCTTGCACTTAACCATTTTTGGTCTATCCGTCCCGCCTCCGAAGTTCCAGGGGCTGCCGACATCTGGGTCATTTCGGCCCGTAACGCATGCAGTTTTTTACACCTTAGAACTACTCATTCTTAAATATATTACATCCAAATTTCATACCATTCGATC